CCCTCCCGCTCCCACCGCCACCCAGGGTCCCCACTCGCTTGCAGAGGTCGTGAGCTCTCGCCGACGACGTCCAATAGTAGTGAGCGCTCGCTGCAGACAAGATCCTTAGGAAAGCCCAGCCTGGCGTTCTGGGAGTCGCGAGCGCCTTCAAATCCAGTCCCTGGGTGCTCGGGGGGCCGGCTGCTAGGACACTTAAGGGAGGGCAGGGCTTCGTCCTTCGCTAGCAGTGATCTTGTTTATAAGCCACGGTTCTGAGCCAGTGCGCGTTTTGTTTTGTTTGTGGCTCTTCAGTGAAGATTGTGCAATTCTGTGTGTGTGTGTGTGTGTGTGTGTGTGCGAGTGTGTGTGAGCGGTGCAAGCGCGCGTCCTTTGCACATAAGCGGTAGGGAGGAGGGGAAGATCTGAAATGTAGATGCTTTACCTATCCCTTTGCTATTGATTTGGGTGATTTTGAAAGAGAAGAGTCTTGAATGTAAATCATAAACTTCCCCTAAAAACAAATCCTTTGCCCGTCCCATGTTTCCGGATGGGGAAGGGGCTGAACGTTGAGGTTCTGCGGGCCGGGCTCGCTCACCTGTGCCGGGGGGGGCGGGGGGGTCGGAAGGGAGCCGCCAAGTCATCACTTCTATAAATGTGTCCGTTGAAACTACAAAGGTAACCAAAAGGAGGTCTTATCCGTTTTTGTCGGCTTCAGTTGGGAACAGCAGGTAGAAGCTGCACTTTGGTTTTACTTTTTCACCACGGGGAGCTATAAATAGAGGAGCGCGTGTGGCTTTCTGGCTGAATTACCTACACTCGCCTGGGAGCTCAAGATCCAGGCGTTGTGACTCCCACATGAACACCCGTAGGTCGCCGCCTCCGCGGACATTTTCCACAACATGTGAGTGACAAGAAGAAGTGCTTCTCCCAGTGAAGTGTGTGCGTTGTTGTTTTTGTTTCAACTTTTGAGGTGGAGACGCATACCACCCACACTGTCAACTCTGGATGGGAGGCCTTCTAAACGCCTTGAAGAGATGCAGGTATTTATAGAAGGAAGAAAGCGTGCTCCTTTGGTGTTTTTACTTCTATATGTCCCAAAATACACTACCTTTCATGTTTCCTAACTATAACAATAGCTCTGACTTTACAGGGCAAATTGTATTTCTCTGGCAGGCTGCAGTTTGTCCACACTGACTGCCCCCGACCATTTGGGAAAGGAAATTATTTTCGCTTTTGGTAAGTGGTGCTCTGGGTATCAAGAATGAAAGAGTGAGCCTCTGTTTGCAGCTAAAGCATGAAGCCACTACGTGGCTGAAAAGGAGTCTCCAGGAATCTTCACCTCCCACTCTCATTCTCCAGGGAGGTTTCTAGTTGATTTAGCAACCTGGAACCCTAGGAGATCTTTAGGCCTTTTACACACCAGAAAGAAAACAAACTTCCGGTCAGCATTCCTCAATGTGTCCAAATGGAAGCAGACTAGATAGGCAAGGAAGACACCAACACCCCCGCCACACACACACACACACACACACACGTTCTTTCTCCTCATTGTTTCCTAGCTCCACCAAACCTGCCAAAACATGAAAGAGCAGTTGCTCTAGCAGTTTTATAATTCTATGCTCTTCCTTCTCCCTGGTATGTCTCCAGTTAATGTTGATTTCCATGCCCAAAACTAAATTACAAAGGCCACACACACTATCTTCTCTTAATGAGATGCTGGATGCAACAAGTCAGCTGACGTTTAGTCACTTGTGCTGACTTTAAATGCCTGATTATATGTTTCTTGGGTCCACTATCGGTGGGTCCCCTTGATCAAAGCCTGACACTGCTGCGGTCACATCGTCAGCAGGTGTGTCCCCAAGAGCCAGCTCCAGGTTCCTAGGGCCATGACCACACCTGTCCTGGCCACAGCTAAGCCCCTGCAGAAGGATGAGTTGGCGGCCAAGGAAATACAGTAAAACGGGTGTTGGGGAGCAGAAACCATTACCCCCGCCATTGGGTTGCTTCTCTGGATGCATGAAATAATGCAAATAAAGTTCCTAGGTCAGCTCAAGTGCTCAAGAAGTGGTAGCTTTTATTGTTCCAATTTCTACAATTTTCTACCATTTGTCATTAATCCGGCTGGAGGCTATTAGACTACTAAAGAAAGCACTAACCTTTTTTTTTTTCCTTTGCATGAACATTAATTGAATACATCCTTAATCATGTGGTCAAGTAAAGCTCATATTCTCAGACAAAAGTCCCTCCAAAGCTTGCTTTATTTGACAGAGCCTTAAATACAATTATTTAACCCACAGACTCCTACATAGAAGCCTAAGGAAGGGGATGATGCTAAAAATAACCAACCTGACATCTGCATAATTTTAGAGTGATTAAATTTAGGACACTTACCTGACAATTGCCCTAGAAATTTGAAGATGTTGAAAAATTAGCCATTATTCCATAATCACTCCTTTTGTCCTCCTTTGCCTGGTTTGTCCCATTTTTTGACATTTCCTTAACACACCCCACATGCAGCGGTCTTGACAATTAATTAACTAACCTTCACACAACTCCTCAGAGATAGGTGGATGAAAAGCATTGTAGCTTTATCGCCACTTTTCAGGAAACTGAAAACAGAAAGGTTATGACTTACCCAAAAGTCACACAGCAAGCTTTCAGAAGAGCGGGAATGGGACCAAGGAACTCTGTCTCCAGCCAAATCACTGTGACTCCTGTCTGAAGGAATATTCCTGACTCACCACCCAGTTCAGCCTATTTGCCTAGACCAAGTTCAGTTCTCTCATAGTTTCTAGAGGGAGTAGCCTTGCACAGAATTGGCTAGAAAAATTATAGAACTGAACTCAACTTAATAAGCAGAGAAAAAAGACAAGGAAGATAGTCAGTAGAGGATCTTTCATCCACACAGCCAAGCTGTCAACCAGTCAACGTAATCAGGCATTGCAGAGACAACAAATACAGAAATACACTCAGAGCAGGAAAATGTGAAGTTCCTGATACTGTCAGAGGAAAACAGACTTACCTAAACAAAGGCCAAGGTGTCCAGGGACATTGAAGGCAGGGTGAGAGGCAGTTGCTAAGTACAAGCTCTTGCTATATTTTTGTCTACAGCTTATGGCCCTGTCCAAATCCCTGCTAAGGCCACCACATCATGTTACTTTGTGTGGTGATGTGTGGCTTCCTGTCCCTTTGTATTCTGAATTCCACTCTTGGTCTTTTCCCATAGTGTTCCCAAACTGTGCTTACCCTTGTGTTCCATAAAGCTAAAGGACAGGCCTGTTCCAAATGCCTTGTAGTACAATACAGTTACCACAGAAAGCAATTGCTTTGAGGAAACAATAACGGAACAAATTATTGCTTAATACAATCTAGAAAGATACCTGTTCAGTAAGAGAATGTTCAATTATGTGTGGTTTATGAATATACTTAGCCAAAGAAGGCGGTGTCACTTGTAGACATTATAACTAATCTTTGGACATATAAATGTCCTCCAAATGGAAAGCCAGGCTAAAAGCTCAATTGCCCATCTCAACACAAGCAGAATGCAAAATGGCCCATGACGCTGGTGCATTATTATCCTACCTGTGATTTGGAGCCGTGCTCCAGGTGGTCTTTAAAATTTGTAGGTGAGTTGTCTGCTTTTCAGGAAATCATTTTCGCAGACACTACATTGCAATGTGCATTGCCTCCGTGCCAGAATATAAGGCACGGCTTTTATTCTAAGTGTGACACCTACTCGGGCGCCATGGTAGCAAACAGAGAGGTGCTGCATAGCTGTGTGTCCACCTACCTGTGAAAAGCCAAAATCATTCCATTTACGTGGCTCCACGGCAGTGAGGGGAAACCACCTTACAAATTAAAAGCTTAAATGCTACAAAATAATTTGTCTCAGAAGACCCAAATCAAAGACGAATTTTTAAAAGAACCCCTTTGTCACTGTTAATGTTTCCCATGAAAACAGTCGGGATTTTTCAGATCAGACGTGGTACGTTCAGTGCTCTCGGGTCCATTTTCCTCCACTTACGGCCCCCTGGAGAATGTTGCAGACACACAGAGCAAAAGCTAACCAGAGGAGCCAGCAACCCCTTAGGGTGGTGCCCGATGGATTTTAAAACTATTCTTTCAAGTGTCGTAGGCACGAAGTTGCCTTTGTGACCTTTACTGTCAATTTAAGTGGTACCAGTAAGAAGGAAGGGAGCCCACTGGACCACCTTCGGAAAGTTGCTATTTCATAGGGATTTGGGGCTTGTCAATAGCTTTGTGGCGGTCAGGGTAGAGCTACATATTGCTTTATAATAAAGCATTATATTTATAAATTTTATGACTTTTACAGGATGACTGTGCTTTTTATAAGGCACAGCACCTGAGGGATGTCCTTTGGTGATACTGCCTTTAATCATTTCCTGTTCATTATGTAATCTTTTGATGAACCAAGCGATTACATTGCTTATTATTTTTTCTGGCCTCTATTATGACTTTATTTAACCCCACTGCAGCCTCTGATTGCCGGGCTGTGCTGTTCACAGCAGCCTGCTGGCCAATTTACGTCTCTTGTATCGGGCCAGACGACTTGAAAGGTGGAGAAGTTCCATTGTAAACTCATTTGTTTGACTGCTTTTTAAATTATACCAAAGAACAAAGCTTACTACACAGAGGAGGTATTGTCTGTTGTGTTTTTTCCCTAATCTCAATATCACCCCCTTTTCAGCCCTTCCACGGGCCCCCTCCTGAAGATGGAAAGATGGGAGCTATCTGAGCTGTGTGTGTTTTGTCTGGCCTCCCTCCCCTCCCTCTCCCGTCCTCTCCTCACTAAAGAGCTGAGTTCTCATCTAGCGTTTCCAATTCTTGTCTTTCAAGATTGACACCCATAGAAACAGCCAATTTTAGCATCAGACTAGAGGCTTATCCTCCACGGGTTTCCTCTAAGAGGGAAAAGGGAAACACGGAGAGGACTGGAGGAGCCAGCGAGGGTAAGTACAGTGAATGGGTCATGAGACAAATTTCAGACAGGATCCCAGCAGTAATTTAGTCGGAATTATTAGAAAGTAGCCCACATACTCTTAGTGGGGTTGGGGCAGGACAGCTCCCATGTGCCCCTGAAATCACTGGTTTGCCCCCTCGGCAGTCCACTCTGTAACTGTCTGCACAGGACAACGATTCAGGCACCCTCTGAGGCCTCACTCCCACTTCTCAGCAGCGAAGACTCACCCGAGCCACACGCTGCTTCTGTGTACCTGAAGCGATAGAGGAAGCAAGTGGCCTTTCACGCCCACCATCCGTGTCTCATCCCTTTCTGTACTGGGCTCAGCCTGCTGCCCCATCTGCTACCAGCCCTGTGGATCCTCACCTCACCAAACAGATCCTGGGGATTTCAGCCAGCCTGTTCCTCCTCACTTAAGAAAAGGTGGAAGGGGGTCAAGCAGATAGTAAATAAAGGTGGCAAAATACGTCAGGGAGAGAAGATCTGGTTCACACATCAACCTGAGAATCCCGGATATCTTTTAAAGCATAAGGAATTCGTACCACTATAACCACTATTTCCAACTAGAGCTAGACCACAATTTTTGTGAGGTTATAGAAAGGTCAGCTCTGATAAACACATCTATGCTTCCTCTCTTGATTACATCAAAAAGATGTTATTTCATAGAAGAGCTATGCCTAACTATTTATATAGCCATGGGCATCACTTTCCTAAGACAGACAAGCTGAGTTTGGAAGGATTTGAAAATCAGACATAATTCAATGGTTTTCTCTCTCTTTTTTTTAACCTATTTTCTTTATTTTAGAGCAATGTGGTAGATTTGCCAAAAATGTAAGATATAGTCAAAATAATGCATCCATCTCAACTTCCTATGTAGAAATTTTTAGGGCTGCTTCAAAAGGAGAGACCCCCAAGTTTTCAAGGTACGGCTGAAGTCAGTGCTTCCTATACGAGATTGAAAAAAAATGGTAATGTCTTAGCTTCTTTCATTCTAGGATCTCTTACAATTTTTATAAATGTTCCTAAATTGAAGACAATGAATTTAAACTGGAAAAGTAGTGGGCGAATGTGGGCGTGGGAGGAAGAAGGTAAGGTATTTTTGAGCCCATATATAAAAGAGAGCTCATTTAAATGAAAGATTCAAGACTCTTACTCATTTTGAAAATAATACAATGTCTTTCCTCAGAAGAGCTCAATTTGAGTTTTGCCTAAGAGTGATCAGGGCACTGAATCACTCATTTTTTCCCATTCAAACTATCCAGCTCAAAGCAGTTTTTTTAAAAAAAACAGGATTTTATTATGAAGATGGCAATGACAGAAGAAAGTGGACAAATCAAGTAAGATTCTCTTAGTAAATGAAACAGTAGAGCCAGATGATTTTTTTCCTAGGGACTACCATCAAATTAGTGGTGTTTTTTAAATATCCTGTGTTATACACACACATACACATAACACATTCTGACTGCTTATCTGTCACCATTATCTTTACAACAGCCTTTTATCGCATATATAGCTCTATAAACATTGATATAAACGATCCCTGGAGAGCCCTTGAACATTCACAAAATTCAGTTGCTTAAAATTTAACTAGGATAAAGAGTCTGCAAATGACATGAAGGAGTTTTCAAATGACTCATTACAAAACAGTATGGAAGGTATTGCTCCTGTGTCTGAGTTAGGAGTTGAATGACATATCGTACAATTCACAAACTAGAGCCCTATGTCAGTTGTTAAGAGAATTCAGAACTCATTACTAGGAAGAGCTACCTCATGGTAACATTAAAGGATCCTCTGCCCTTCTTTCTTTCTACTTTAAAAAAAAGTTATTATTAAAAAGTAAACAAGGGTTCTAGGGAAGTTCTAAACATGTTTCATGTATGCAAGTATCACATATCTTGTATGTGTCTTTATACAGATTGCATGTGCGCCCACCACGTTATTCAGCACTTAGTTTACTCAGAAACTATGTGATGAATTTCTAGACAGTATTAACAACCAATTCGTCTTTTCAGATGGTTAATTTAATGATGGGACAGAGAAACATCAGCACTCTTGTTTATGCTGCACATAGTAGCTTGTCCTCTAAGCGGTAAAACTTTATATGGACCTTGGAACCAGCTTAGCTTCTCCACCCGCCAAGCAAACGCAGTGAGAGGGAAGCAGAGTTGGAAACTCCCAATGAAAACTGTGAGAGTTAGTATCGGTGCTGTTCTTTCAAGGCCAATTACTTTCCTATGCTAATAAAAATAAGACTGCATTAGAAGACAAAAAGAAAGAAATTTCAGCAACTATCGAATGAACTTCATGCATGGTCTCGTTTCAGGAGAAGCCTTCTGTGACAGCATTTTACTCTCATATTATCAGCCAGCCTTCACCAGCATGCCTTTAGGTCACATGACTTCTACTTCCTCTGTCGTAAAGCTCTGGTTTTATTGCTGTTATTGACCAGGTGCCAAAGTATAGATTTATCCCCATTAGAATGCATGCCAAGAGCACCAACATAACCTTTACAGGCTCAGAAATACATTTTTCTATTTAACTATCCAAGTGGAGAAACGATAGTCTCTTTCACCCGTAGCACATCGGCAAATTTTCCCATGCAGATGTCCCCTTGGCGGAGATTATAAATCATACCCCTCAACACCTCACAGCTAGACAGACTCACTGCCTATGTGGATGGTTTACGGTTTCATACTTTGAGTAGGGTCTGCAAAATAGCCCTTGACAAACTTATCAACAGGAACTGCTGGCCCCACGAGCAAGTGCGCCTCCAAAATGGTAATCTCTCTGTTTTTTCTTTGGGAGGGGGGGCTTTTCGAGTTATTAGGCAATACAGCCTATTTCCTTCCTTTCACCCAGGAGGTATTGCGACCAAACCATGAAAATCCAGCTCTCTAGTCATGTGTGAATTTGTCCACTGTGTGTTGTTCTGTATATTTGTCTACACGGCACCACCAGAGTGTGAGCTCTCGTGTGTTTCTGGACACGGTGCAGCCCTGGTTACCTGATCACACAGAAGTACTCAGCGCTGAGGCTGCATCCGTTTGTGAGGAACTTTTACTTTGTGTATTTTAGCAATTCTGCTTGAAGTTGCCAAGCAAATCTCTCTCTGTTCACATGCTGCATTGTTAACTCAGAAAAAATATTTTGACTCTCTCCTAGGTTGGGAATCCAGCTATGTCTTTGCAGCAGTTTTCAAGCACAGCAGGGACAACTAGTGCATGGCGTCCTTCAGTGCAGAAAGTCCATCAGGAAAAAAAACACACATGTATTTGTTGTAACTTTTAGACATACAGAAAGGAGTTCAATAAATGGACTTAGTGCTTACTCAAAATTTAAGAATCCATTAAGAAGTTCGGTTTTACTATGTCAGTGCGATACATCTCAGACCATAATCATACCCTTTCCAAATCCCATTTAAAGTAAATCATTTATTTTTTCTACTTTTCCCACAAGTGCCTTAATGTAGAATTTGGATACCTTTCAGAAGAGACCTGTGAGGTAATGCATTGGAGAGACATAACAATATTTATAAAGTTTGGAAAAATCTTTTGCTAAATGAGTAAAGGAAATAATCTTCAGCTTTGATAGAATGGATAATAATATTGATACTGAATTTGGTTGTTCTCTGTGAGTTTTATAACAGATGCAGGGAGCAAGTTCTCATTATTATTCTTCAGTGGTTTTTAAGGCCAGACTGGAATTTTAAGGGTTCAGAGCAAATAATTATAGTGCTCAAAAATAGCTATATTGCTCTTGTTTTTTTTTTTAATGTTGCCTTTTTCCTTTGGTAAGATCGCATGAATATTAATTAAATAGATAAACAGAAATGCCTAACAATTATTCTTGTTCTACATATTATTTTAGCACCCATGGAATATAAAAAAGAAAGCAAGATTCACAGTCACATTCTCTGCTTACCTACTGTAAAGTTCAGGGCAGAGCCCGAAGTTGCCTGTATCAGAAATGGGCATCAGTCTCAAATAAAAGAGAAGGCAGTTCTCGTCCCTCCGACTCATTCAGTTCCTGGGTGGCCGTCACCGAAGGTAGAAACTGCAGTGTGAACACCTGTCCGTGAGGAACCAGCCATGAGATAACCAGCTCATCTCACACAGACCATTGTCCAGCCATAGGATGTTAATTACGGTTAGTCCCCATCAGCCTCGGCTGGATCCCAGCCAGTGGGTTGTGGGTAGAAGGGTCCTGTATCACCTTTCCATTCATCCAAGCCATCCAGTTTCCTTCTTGCTTGTTTTCAATTACATCGACATGGTGGCTTTGGCACACAGTAAGTAAATAGCAACGCATTCAAAAAGAAAGGTCTGAAAGCCAATATCTGAAATATACTCTTGAGGTCTCAATGAGTACAATAAAATTGGCACAGATATTCTGGCATTCTGACCCAAAGTCATAAAATGCAATTAATTAAGTTAATTGTAGTGAATTCATAGAATATTTCATGAAAGCCAGATGCAGCAGATGAGAGTCTAAAAAGCAATGGAAATGTTACTGAATTTCTTACAAATAAATAGCCAACTAACTGAATTGTTAATTGGATCAGAAGAGTGAGGGATTGGAGCTATCACTGAAAGATTTTTCATTTTTACTTTTTAAACTCTTATGGGGAGTCCCCAGACAAAATGACATTCTAGAACATTCCAAAATTATTTTTAAGATGATTTCACTAATTCCATCGTTTTCTATTACTCTTCATCCCTTTAGCACGCATCCACTTGTTCTTTTATTTTTTTTCAGCTTTAATTGAGTTTATTGGTACATTTTAGGGATACAGTACAGTTACATTCATTGTTGGGATCTTGTACCTCTACATGACAGGTCTTGGTTCTCATTTTTCCCCTTGTCCCTGCCCTCCCTTCACCCCCTCCTCCCCTCCCCATCTACAAACACTTTATTTCCATCTTTTCATTCTCTCACACTTTTTTCTTTTCCCTTATTGCCTTTCCC